AAGTGCTATGTAGGACTGTAGGTTTACTTTTTTTGTCATGAGTAAACTTGGTCTTTCTATAAGCCTTTTGGTCAGACCCATCACTTGTTCACCGGTTCGTATCCTCTCACTCTCCATTGAAGGGAGCAGAAGCATTTGGAGCTAGGTTGCGTTCGACTATGTAAGAAATGGATGGGAGAATGGGCATCTGGTGGGGACAGGTCTGATTAGTGAATTCGTAATATAATGCCTGTGATTTTTTTTCGTTGATCTTGGGGAGTGTACAAGTTACGCGATCAATTCCAAACCAGACCTAGTGAGTTGCGAATCTGATGTCTTGCTGCGAGAGGAAGAAAGAGCGAGTAGCTTGAGAAACTCTTAGATGGTGTTCCGGAACGCTAAGTAACCACCCGCTTGTAGACGGCGGTACCGAGGTTGGAGGCGCAGTGAACTATGACTTGGTTACTGAATAAGTTGATGTGAATTGACTAAAATGATCATTCATTACGAGATGCCATTGATCTTCTCTCTCTCTCTCTTCGCTAAGCGTACTTATGTTCCTATTTACTCCATTTATCATCGGTTTTGTTTTGTCAGTGCTTTCTGTGGGCTTTTTGCCCTGGACAACTTATCCGCACCTTCAACTTGCCAGCATCTGCTAGCGTTATTTCGTTCCTCAGCTGCCTGTTGTGGAGAAATTCAGTCAGACTTCTTTTCCTGGTCCTGGGTGCTTACCACATGTCAGTCTCAGGTCGCTACGCCAAAAGCATATCACTGGTAGCGGCGCTTCTTGTGCTGTGATCTTGTTCCAGAGGGCTTCTGCTCGTCTTCAGGCTATGTATGCTACAGACAATGGTGCATATCAGAAATTTGCGGCAGCTTTCCATATCAGGTTTGTAAACCTTACGCTGATAACCTGCATTTAGAGAGCGAAGGTGTTTTACAACAGGTCAATCACTCTCAACTTCTTAGACAGCTGGGCAGCTGCTCTTCATCGCACTGCTACGGGCGTGGTTACTCATGGCCCATGTTGTAACATCAGAGCGTCCTGTTCAATCCTCACATTGATCCACCGCCGCCTTCTGAGCAAGTAATTTCCCGGAGGTTCGTGATATGAGTAGCTTTCTCCCGTTGTTTTCTTCTCGAACAGTCCTCATTTACTTTTTACTTACTCCTTGATTGATATTGTCATCAATTAGTTCTAATTCAACTTTCTTAGCATGATTTTGACCAAACTTCGATTAACATTGGGCACAAAATAGTTGGTTTCTCCATCGGTTTTCACTCTTGGTCTTGGTAGGATGATTTCACGTATAGATTCAGTATTGCTGTGGTCTGGGTTGATCGAGCAATGTATAATATTAATATTAACGATATACAAATTTTGGTTTATTTATTTTTTGTCTTTTAAATTTTTCAGAATTGAGTGATGTTTCCTCGTAATGGTTCCAACGTATTTAGACATAAAGTAAGAATTCTTATAGAAATTCGGGTCTTGTAATTAGCGATAGTCAGTCAAAGTCCTACGTTCACAGGATCTATGTTCACAAGCATCTTAAGAGTAGAATCATGATAGTTCCAAGGTGATAGAGCTATAAGTTTATTGATTAATTTATATGATACTTGCAAGCATTCAGTGACAATTGTAGGCAGATTTTGGATATAGGTACTGATTACTTGCATTCTTTACCTTTTTACAATTTATTTTTTATTTTATTTATTTGTATTTTTCTTTGAATGTAGTTCCTTTACATAATAATATCAGGGTGTATAAGACACTAACCGTTGGATTCGTTACACCATTTATGTAAAAACTGATTCCGCCGAGGGCTTCTGTCAGCAGCTTTTTCCTCGAAGTTCTCACTTTTCGACCTCACATGACGGTTTCGATGTGCATGCTGGAGGGAACAACTGATCAAACCGCTGGCCGTGGAATCCCTCTTAATAGATTCACATGCCGTGTTGTACCTTCATCCTGAAAATTTGATATTGATAGCAGATAAAATTTTTTCGCTCTTAGTTCTCTGAATGTAGTTTTTAAGACGCTGTAATGCAGCGATATCAAAAAGGACACCATCTGGAACGTTTTTAATCAAAGCAGATGAGTTAGCGCATCAGACATGGTCCGCGTAGGCGATAAATCATCGCTTTACTTCTAGCCAATCAATCATAGTGCCATGCAACTTACATATCCCACGAGTAAGAGAATGGGTGGTATTGCTCGACATATTGACTTAAATCACCGAAGATCTGATGGTAGAACCACATATTTTATCCTTTATCGTGTTTGTCTGGGATTTACAATATTTATATTCCTCAGACAGGCGCTTGTCAAAATTGTGTTTAACTTGGTGTGCGCTCGACTAAAGCTCAATTGTGGTAGTATTTCATCTATCGAAGGTTGAAAGATGAATGTCTTGAGACAACTAGTTCGGGCCTCGTGGACCTTGATCTAACTTTGACGACGTGACAGCGTTTGGCTTTACCTGTGAAACGGTCACCTAAGGTCGCGGCTCGCGGTGACCTCGAGCCTTTGCGAGGCGCCTCTTGACCGCGTCCACTGAAGTAAGCTAACTGTGATCTCATTTCTTATAATATTATACACACTTTTTTCGTCATCTTTACGTGCTGAATGGTGGTGCTGAATGTTACCTTCCTTCTAAGCCATAGTTTTCGTGTGCTCATCTAACTACTTTCAGTCGCCGTTTTCATGAGCAGTCGTTATCCGCTGTATGGCGTGAACGACGACGCGCTATGGGCTCGTGGCAGTGCGATCCCCGAGCCTACACGGGGAACTTCTATTCCACCACTTCATCAAACTATGGCATACTCAACTTATCCTGGTGCCACTACCCACACCACCGTGGTCCATTCGTCAGCCAAGCCCGTTGCTGATGCTGATATTTACAGGTAAAGGTTTGCCCAATCACTTTCTGCCTTTCCCAAACTATTAGGCCATATACTTCTTATCATACCGGAGTTTATCTGGGTGTAGTAACTTCTCCCCGAAAGTCCCATCGCGCTTGCACCGATAGCCCCGTGAATAACACTACATGCGATGTGCTTTCTGTGAATAACTGGGTGCACAGAGTGTAGCTGTATCCAGCCATGTTTGATAGGTTACAGGCAGTTGTCCATAAGAATTTCGCTCATTGAGGGACAGACGGGATAGTCTCCTTATCCCGCGTCCAATAGTTAGGAAATTGCTTGTTTGCACCGTCACTGCTCTATTCTTTGAAATACATCTTCGCCAGCAGAGCCGGACTGAATAGGATTACAAGTAGGACATGGCTCAAAAGATTTAAAAAGTCACTGCACCTTCATACTTTATTTTTCGGTCCCGGAAAATGAAGCCATCATCATTACCATTCAAGATAACATAAACCTAGAATTTAGAAATCGGGGAAAAAATAATCACGTCGATGAGAGAAATTTGAGCTTCTCACTTTTCACTAGACTCTGCCTTATTCAAAAACACAAATGATTATCAAATTTGTGTTAAGTTTTGTTGATTTTTACTCCAGTTGTTCTCTTACGAGTGATGCTCTCAGTAATCGCGTACTTTAGCGGTCTTGTAACATTACGGGCAAACTAAATTTTGCTGTCTTCACTCTAGCATTTCTGGGGAAAGATATCGATT